GGTGCAGGAGGGGGGGGTTAGTGGAAAAACAGAAAAGCTATGTAGCAGCTAAGGCCTATTTTCAGAGCAGGGTGGGACATTCTTCAGGTGCAGATAGTGAAAAACAAAGTAGTTTTGGTTTGACCTTCGACCCAGGTGAGGTCACGGGTTCAGGACGACGGAGATGAGGAGGAACGAGCGACGGCGTTTGTCAACAGAGGAGCGAGTTTTGACACCTGCTCTGTGTGATATCTGTGGGCGTGGCCTAAAATACAGGAAAAGAACAGTCGGCAAAAGAGATGAAGAACTTGGTGAGGGTGGAGGTCAGGGTGGAGGTCAGGGTGGAGGTCAGGGTGGAGGTCAGGGTGGAGGTCAGGGTGGAGGTGAAACTAACATAGATAAGATAATGAGAGCTGTTGAAGAAGATCTCTGTGAGTGTCTTTCTTCCGTTCCTGCCAGTTTATCAGCGTCGTCTTCATCTAAACAGGCTGAGGTTTGAGTCACTGATGAGGTCATTTCTTATTATATCTCATTTGTCAGATTTCTGTTTGTTTTCATCATATTATATCTCATTTGTGAGGTTTGAGTCACTGATGAGGTCATTTCTTATTATATCTCATTTGTCAGATTTCTGTTTGCTGATGTGCCGTGTGCCTTGTGAAGGTTGGACTCCCTGTCCTCAGTACTTCCTTCTCCTCCCTGTCCTTCCAGGTTGGTGAATCCGTTGATCCGCAGCTTCATGACGCTGCTGCCGTCCGTCAGGGTCATGTGGAGGAGCGTGACGGACGTGTTCGTAGCCCCGTTCTGCCACAGCATGGGAAAGATCTGGTCATCCGTTGGCATCACTAACACTGAGATCTCGTGAAGACAAAGTCCAGAGACAAAGACGCGGGACGTTGTCCCACAGAGAAGAAGAAAATAATACGTAACAATCGTGAGTTTTGATAACGTTGTTTATAAAGATCTGTAGAGAGAAATGTCTTCACTTTACACCAACACAAGAGTCTGAAACATCGGTGTTTGACCGTGTCCACGTGTCCGTCACACTATGGTGAACAGAGACGTTCACCTTCAGTTCCTCAGAGATGTCAACACTCCACTGGTCTTCAGAAGACTAGGTTTGGACGGAAGACCAGAAACGACGACACCAGGAGAGTTGACACCAGGTGTAGTTTCTGAAGATGATGATGAAAACACAGACTTCTGTCTGTAGATCAGTCAAACTATTTCTCCATAATCCTTTTAATCATATTTCTGCTGCATGTGTTTTTTTTATTATTATTATTTTACCAGAGTTATTCATTTAGAACAATCATTTAGAACTGAGGAGTCTCTTAGAACAGGGGTAAACAAACCCTCGGTCCGGGGACCGGTGCTGGTCCGTAGGTCATTTGGTACCAGGCCCCAGTGGGACAGGGTTAAAAAAATCAACTTCAGTTTCACTGATTTACTTCAGTAAGTAAAAGAATCTAGTCAGAATAAAAATTGATTTACTTTATTCCAAAAAGAATCCAGTCAGAATAAAAAGAATCTGTCAGTGTTTGACTCTGATACTGACAGGAAGTCGAGTCCAAAAGATGTTTTATTTAAAAAAAAATGTAATGATTCTTCAACGATGGCGTGGTGTTACTGGTCAGCAGTAACGGCTGATACTGGTCTTTGTTACAGAACAGGTTGAACATAGTTGTTATTCACCGCCTCGTTAACTGGTCTGGATGAGTGAGAAAAATAAACGATCTCTAACCGTCACAGTGACCAAGGACCAAGTCCATTATGAACCTCCTGGTTTAAACGCAGGTCATTTATTCAAAAGAAGTAACAACGAGATTGTAGATCCATAAACATTTGCATCGGTGACCTTTGTCTCCTGACCTTTCACCCCAGTTTTCTGATCTGTGTTCAACACTGAGTCAAAGGCGTTCTTGTTCTTTTCTTTTTCTCGTCCTGTCGTGTTGGTTTGTATATGTTGCAGAACAGGAACACGGTGGTTTGTTGTGTGGTTGTGTTCCTCTGTAGGCGTCGTCTACTGCACACGCTGTGATGATGTCACAGGGCCTGGGCGGGAAATCTGGCCTGGGTTTTTTAAATGTTGGGTTTGAACTCCACCGCGGTCGCTGGGGGACCCGCACCTTACTTTGGGAACCACTGCTCAAACTAGAACACATTATTTTAGAGTTTGCTGTTGCATTGTGGGTCAGATCTTTCCTCTCACCAGCTGAAATAAAGTCTTACCTTCCTCCAGGTGAACTCTGGGAGTTTTTCCTCTCCGTGTGACAGGTGATGGGTGTGTGTGTGTGTGTGTAAATATATGGAGAGAACCTTCTAGAAACGTTACACGGCCTCAGTGACGGAGCTCTGAACGACTCTCAAATGTAATCAAACTATAATTCATCTTAACTTCTGACCTTTTTGATTTAATTTTTTGATCTGGAACTGAGTCCAAAGGTAATTGATGGAGAAGTGGTCACAGGTTCAGCTCCTGGCTCCGACTTAATGCCCTCCTGTGTTCCACCTTCGTCTGCTTGTTTGCCCGCGTCCGGCTGCATCCAACTCCTCCTGTTTACAAGATCAGGTCCAATCGGCCAATCAGCCGCCGGACCAGTACGCCACAGCCGCGTTCACAGACCTGCTCCACGATTTCCTGCTGCGTGTCAAAGGTCAACCCCTGTAGCTGCCCCGGCCTCCGTGGCTGTTCAGGTCTGGCAACCGTTGTCGCTCTCAAAAAGACAAACTTGTGTGCGAGCGCTCATGCGTACATGTGTAAATTTAAGTAAACGCACCAATTTTCTCTGGTTTGTTACTCGGTTTTTCTCTCGGGCCACAAACCAAACCGACATGAACAGCATTCATCATGGTGCAGTAGTACTTCAGCTGAATTATTTATAAAGTAACCGTTGCTGCGTACTTGTCTCTGGAGTACTCCCCCTGTAGGCAGACGTGGGTATTTCATCACTGAACCCCCTGGTCTGTGGGGTGAAGTGACCCTGACAGGTGTACGTGCTGGACAACGACTGAATGAAGGAAAATAATCAGAAACTCAACTTCCTTCATACACTTTATATTACCGTATTGTCTGGACTATAGGTCACACTTTTTTAAACCTTTGTCTGGGTTTACGATTTATACTCAGGTGTAACATCTATATATATAATTTCACATTTTTATTTTCACTCTGACAGCCACTAGAGGGCACTGCTGCAACTTATAGTCCAAACGATTTTTTCTTCTTCTTCATTATACATTTTTTGTCGGTGCGACTTATAGATAATACGGTAATGTGCATTAATATGTCGCCTTTTGAACAAGTGAAAAAACCAATATTATTATTGAATGACCACGTGGTTGTTTCAGACTCAGACACACTCCCCCCCTCCCCCGCCCCCTGGTGGTGTGCTCAGCCAGATGGTGTCACTCACTCCAAGGTGAGCAGATAGAATGTAAACAGACCTGAGTGACCAGCGTGGCGTCAACAGCTGCTGCTGCTGCGTGATAAACATGCAGACATGACGTCATCAGCTCAGACGTCTGTATCTGGAACCATAATAATAAATCTCTATGATGAAAACACACACACACACTTATATACTTTTAATCTGATTAATTCAGCCGGTTGTTTGGCAGCTCTCTGACCACGTGACTCCCTCAGGGTGAAGGCGGGGCAGGTCTCCACACCTTGCCATCCCTAATTGCCGCCCACATGAACAACGGGGGCATTTACTCTGCCCTTACCCCCAAACCAAGTCATTCCACCGGAGTTCGAGCAGCAGCTCCGAGAGCACCACAGACCCCCAGGCCCCCCAAGCCACAGGTCCACGGAGCCACAGGTCCACGGAGCCGCTGTCACCAGTCAGAGTTCACTGGTGACGACGCACAACCGCCGTGTGTGTGTGTGTAGAGTGTGTGTGTGTGTTGGAGGGGGGGGATTCCCTCTCTCTCCAGCTCTGACTGGCGTTAATTTCTAAAGGCGTAGAAGGAAAAAAGGGCAGGCATTAAATCACGGTGTTTGTCCAGGAGGGGAGCCCCCGTCCATC